TCTGTTTTTGTGTTACTAAAAAAAAAAACTATACAAAGAAGATAATTCCTCATACCTGCGCGACTCTAGCACGTTGTAACTGGAGTTGGAGTCGTCTACTTATCGCTGAGGAATGAAAAGAAGAAACGATCACGAATATATTTTTTAATTTTATTTTTGTAACGAAAAGATAAATTGAGTCATTTTCAACATTACAACTCCAGAAACTGTAACCCATGCAACCAAATCCCACAGAAAAACCACAAAATAAGATTCCGATGGAAAAAGCTCTCGCTTTTGCTCTTGCTCCTTTCAACTCTGCATTTCGAAAGATCAATCACAAATCCGCTCTTGACAATTTTATAGATCTGAGATATACCAAATCGAATAAATTTTACCAATTTTGGTATTCAGTGATGAGAAATCTCGAGATTGGCCATTCCCAATCGATCTCGCTCCTCGATAACACTGTTAAAAAAAATTCCATTTGATCGCACAAAAAAAAGGAGAAACACACAAATCAATAATCAGATGTTTCGACGTTGTACCTGCGCAACGATTGGTCTCAGATTCTGCATGATCGAAAAATTAGGTAGTTTGTTTTTCAGTGTGTAATTTTTTTCCTTAAAAAAGAGTTTTCTTCATGGAAATATGGGCCTGATATTTTTTATGGGCCTGCCTCTCTTGTTGGGTTTTTTGACGCCACTTATAGTGAGATCCGTTTAATTTTAAAACCGGTATAGATTCGGTTTAATTCGTTGTTGATATAAAACCGGTCTCTTGTCGTAAACCGTTTCCTTAAAACCCAGTTTACTCAGAGTTTCTCTTTAGAAAGTAGAAAAACCCTTTCGATCACAAATTTCTTGAAGCGAATCAAATGGTTTGGGGTCTCTTTCCCATTGATCCTCTCTCAGGTTTTTTTCCCCATTAGACTCGATTCATTGCAACGTTTTGATTGCTTTTCGTGGAGATTCGTATTGGCTTGCAAATGAAACTAGTTTGATTGCTTCCTGTTTAAAATCATTCACCATTACGAAAATTTGGATCCTGTAATTGCAGTTCTCAACTATGTTCTGTTCTTCGAAATACCCAAAATC